AATTTCAGGATTTAAAAAACATTTAGGTAGTGAACCTTATCATTAGCAGTTCCTCGATTCCATGTCATAGTGCGGCCTTTCCCATTCAGATTGTTTTTAACCTATTTCTTTTCTTTTAGAGTTGATGTTAAGGCATTTCTTTCTTTCTTTCTTTTTTTTTTTTTTTTGGAGAGGTTTTCGCTATAGGGCGCGTGCGCTCACAAGACAGACAGAGACAGAGAGACAGAAAGCGAGAACTCACCCCCCAGGGGGGCTGGTCACGTCGCAATCCCTTCTCCTCCATTCTCCTCTCAGGATCTTGGACACACACGTACATGTGACCGGCATGAGTTTTAAGCCACCGGGTCCGGGACATGAACCGCGGACGACTATGTGGGAGTCCAGCAACATAGCCATTACGCTAACTGCTGGTTCCCCTTAAGACATTTTTTTGAGCATTTAAACTATTGGATTTCTTTTGATGGAAAGAAGTGGTGTAGAGACTCAGGTGACCTTTGTCAAACAACTTTCCATTTTTCACAACACTTTACTGATGAAGTGTGGAAAAGGGTGAAAGCCATCTTTTTCACTGCTATTTGAGATGCCAGCTTTGTTCAAAATCGTGTTCACACGGACTTGTGTTCACGTTTGTATGTTCCATTGTGTTTATTTAATAGAATCTTTCTGTCTTCTTATCGTCCAGGGCATTAATAACTAAAAGGTTATAAAACAGGTGAACATTTGACAGGGGTATTTCTCTCATCACTCCTTTTTATTGGCAGCTGTCTTTTTCTGACTCTTCTTCCATGTCTGTTTAGATGAACTTTAGAATAAATTCATCAAGTTTTTAAAAGTTCTGTATTCGGATTGGCATTACACTGAAGTTTTCTTTTTCTTCTTCTTTTTTTTTTCCCAAGAGTTTTTTGCTATAGGGCACGTGCACTTGCCAGAGAGACAGAGACAGAAAGAAAGAAAGAGAGAAATCACCCCCCAGGGGGGATGGCCATGCCACAATCCCTTCTCCGACATTCTCCTCTCGGGATCTTGGGCATGCTTGCACATGCACTCAGTGTGAGTTTAAGCCACCACTTCTGGGACTCAAACCACAGTCAACTACATAGGAGTCCAGCGACGTAGCCATTATGCCATCTGCTGGTCCAGCATTGGGCTGAGTTTTAAAAATTAATGTCAGTAGAATTCATATCTTCTAGCATCTTTTATATAATGTCCACATCTTTTTAATCCATAGAAAAAAATGGGACACATGTCTATCAATGCATGACAGTCTTCTTGAACAAAATAAAACTGCATTATATGGCTTATCTTTGATTGAGGGCTTGAGGAGAGAGATCTTTTCTATATTCTATAATTACTATTTACGTTTTTTAAAATGTTGCCAGGGGATGTGTGCACACATACCGGAGAGAGAGCAGGGAGGAAGCACCACTCATGGGGATGGCCACACTGCAGTTCCTTCTCCTCTGTTTCGTTCTGTTGTGATTGGGCACACACACCCAGCATGCTTCTCAAGCCTCCAGTCTGGGACTCAAACTGTGCAGTCAGCCATGTGGGATCTAGGTGCCTTACCCACCATGCCACAGGGTGCCCCTACATTTGTTTTTAACACAAACGGATTTGTTCTGTAAGCAATTAATTTTTCTCTTTCTACTGCACGTATCAGGCACCACATTACACAATGAAGAAAAAATGAAGCAAGAACATGATCCCAGCCTTGCCATCTTGTCAAAATGGTCATCTCTAGTAGGGAAGACAGTTGTAAAAAAAAACTTCAGCATCCTGGGATGACTGCTACCACCAGGGCAGTACAGCACATTCCGAACTTAGGATCATAGCCTTTGAAGAACATTCTACTTTCCTGAGGGTTTATCTATAGCTTCCAAGGCATGACTTGTCGACTAGATTTTGAGGAAAAGTAGGCATTGATCAGGGCCAGCAAGGAGCATGGTGGTTAGGGGGCTGGACTCCCACATAGCCAATCCCAGTTTGAGTCCCGGACCAGTCAGCGTGAAAATCATGCTGGGCATGTGTGCATGTGTGCCCAAAATCCCAGAAGGAGAATGGAAGGGAAGGGACTGCAGTGTGGTCATCCCCTCTGGGGTCAATTTCTCACTTATCTTTCCATCCTTCTCCAGAGAGTGCATGTGCACTATGGCAAAACTCAAAAAAAAAAAATTAGCAAAATAAAGCTTTAAAAATAAATAACTGAGTAGGCATTGACTAATAAGAGTACCATCCACTCATGTGTCTACTGGAGTTCCAATGTCACATGAAAGACTGTTGTCATTAAAAACAACTTGACAACATTAGGCAGGTTCCACATTCTGACTGGCAGGCCCTGTACTTAGATTGATTAAGGCAGCCAGATTCCACATGGCCAGCCCTGCTGTTCGAGTCCCAGACCTGGACGTATGAACATGGCGTGCTCCAAATCCCAGCATGATGGAGACGTGGGGGGAATGGGGAGAGGGATTGCAGACCATGCCCCATTGCAGGATTTCTCTCTCTCTCTCCTCTCTGTCTCCCTCTGGCAACATTTTATTTATTTATTTTTAATTCACTAGAGGGCAAGTTTATTCAGTAGACACACACACACACACAGTGTGTTTTCAAGCTCCAGGTCCAGGACTCCACCACACAGTTAGCCATGTGGGATCCAGCCACCTTAACCACCATACCACCAGCTGGTCTGCCCTTTCGCAATTAAAAAAAATTTTTTTTGGAAAAAAAAAAAAAAGACTTATTTTGGGGCTTGCCCCATAGCCTACTGGCTACAGAAGTCAGCTCCTAGATGACTAACTACAGTTCAAGTCTGGGATCAGTGGCTTGGAAGACACGCTGGGCATATGTGCATGTATATACAAAATCCCAACAGGATGGAGACATGGAGAGGGATTGCAGTATGACCGCACCTCGGTGGGAAGTGCCTTCTGTTTGTTTCTCTTTCTGGTGAGTGCATGCACCACCAGAAATAATTAATAATTAAAAAAATAACTTGGGCATCAGCTCTGTATTAAATAATTAAAAAAATAACTTGGGCATCAGCTCTGTAGTCTGATAGTTTAGGCAACTGGATCCCACATGGCTGACTCTGTAATTCAAGTCCTGGACCCAGCGGCTTGAGAAACACACTGGGTGCATATGTCTGCATGTCTGAAATTCTAAAAGAAGGGGAAAATGGAAGAGAAGAGATTGTGCAGTAACCATTCCCTAGGAGGGGGGTGCCTTCTCCTCTCTCTTTCTCTGTTTCTAGCTCTCTTTTGGGCAAGCATTAGTGCCCTCTAGCAATAAATAAATAAATAATTTGTTTTCTTATTATAAAAGTGTTCATTAAAAATTGCATACTGTAAGTAAGCAGGTTTTATAAATATGCATGCATTCTTTCAATAGCGTGGATATGAATTTTTAACTGTTACATGTGATGCAAATACTTCCCTGGTCAGCTTTATTAATTTCCATGGTACAGAAGTTCTAAAATTTTAGACAGTTAAATCTGCCACTTCCTGCTTAATTTCTCCTATTGTTACAGTCTTTCAAAAGCTACCATTTCTACAAATGGCCACCAGATTTCAGTAGTCACATGGAATTTCTAAATAGGATCCAAAAATGATGAGAAACAAAGAGCAAGTTTTCATTTTTCACAAGTAAGAGTTAAAATAGAACCACCCAAAGAGAAATATGTATATTATATCCAGGGATAAATACAGAGAATGATGAACAATGAGCTTTTTTTTTTTTCTTTTTTTTAGGGTTTTTGCCATAGTTCATGTACGCTCGCTGGAAAGAGAGAGAGAGAGAGAGAGAGAGAAAGAAAGTGAGAAATCACTCCCCAGAGGGGATGACCACACTGCAATCCCTTCTCCTCCATTCTCCTCCTGGGATTTTGGGCACACGTGCTCAATGTACCTTCAGTGATTTTTTAAGCTCCCAGGTCCAGGACTCAAATTGTGGTAGGCCATATGAGAGTCCAGCACCTTAATCACCTCACCACTTGCTAGCCCTAAGCAATGATTTTTTATGTCCAATAATATTGATTAAGAGAAAACATGGGGGCCAGCAGGTGACATGCTGGTTGAGACGATGGATTCCCACATGGACAACCATGGTTCGAGTCCAGAACCTGGCAGCTTGCTTTCTCACTCTCCTTCTCTCTGTCTCTCTGTGTCTCTCCCTGGTCAAATTGAAGAATAAGAGCAAACAAATAAAGTTAAATAACATTAAAGAGAGAAAATGTGTTGAGCCAACTAGTGGCTGGATCTCACATGGCAGACTACACAGTTTGAGTCCCAGACCCAGGAACTTGAAAAACACGTTGGCATGCGTGCATGAGGGCCCGAGATCCTGAAAGGAGGGAGAGATGGAGAAGGGACTGCACCACAGCCATCCTCTCTAGCCATCCCTCTCTCTTCCTCACTGTCTCTCTCTGGTGGGCATACATGCCTTCTGACAAATTAAAAAGAGAGATGGAATGTGTTTTACAACAAAGTAAAAGAAGATGTAGATAAACACTAGAGAGAACTTATCTACTATCAGGGTTGTACAATGGGACAATGGAATAAAGCTCAAACTATAATAAGGGCTTCTAGTCCTATAGGTTGTTTTTGTTTTTGTTTTTTGGTAAAGTTTGTTCAGTTATTTCTAACATGAGAAAAAGAGAGAAGGTGGGATCCTGCAGCGTATTCATGCAAGACCCACCCCCAGTCTCAGCCAGCACAGCTCAGGGACACACACATGCACCTGGCTTGCTTGGGAAGGACGCAGGACACCGACCCATGACCTGTCTCACATGGGTCCAGATGCAGTACAGCTGCTCCATGGCCTGGCCCTCCATGGGTGTTTCCAAGGTAACAGAAACCATTTTTCCCCAGTGATTTATACCAGGGATGCACAACCGGGAGTCTTATTTGGAATATGTTGAGGAAGGTAAGGGAAAAGAACATGCCCCACTGGCCCAGAGCGTGGGTCTCCATGCTAAGCATGACGATCTGGTCAAACTTGCTTACCCTTTCACGTGGACAGGCAGGGCTATGACTCAGCTGACAGCTCCAGGTTTCTCCTCAGTAATGCTCGGTAGTAGCTGTAAAAGAGCAAGTCGCAGTTTTAAAAACAATCATGTTGGAGCTAGCTAGTGGCAGGGTGATTACGGTGGTTGCATCCCACATGGCTGATTGCGCAGCTCCAGTCCCAGACTCAGTGGCTTGAAAAACCCTCTGAGTGTATGCGCATGTGTGCCCGAAATCCCAGAAGGAGAGGTGGCCTAGCCCCTGGAGGGTGATTTCTCTTTCCTTCTCTGTCTCTCCAGCAAGCACGCATGCCCTATACCAAAAACTACAACCAGCCATAAACCACAGTCTTGGTCACAGTGTCAAGATTTGGCGATCCATATTGCAACAGTTCATGTCTGGCCTTGGACGAATGGACTCACAGTGAACACTTTTCCCCAAACCCAAAGTAGTCACAAAATTACATTAAAGAAATTAAAACATTGAGAACACTAATTTTTTTTTTTTTTAAGAATAGAATAAAAACATGTTTTTCTAGGGCCGGCGGGTGGTGTGGTGGTTAAAGGCGCTGGATGCCTGCATGGCTGATCATGGTTCAAGTCCTAGACCTGGTGACTTGCTTTGTCACTTTCCCCTTCTTTCTGTCTCTGTCTGGTCAAATTAAAAAAAATAATAATAATGAATGGAAATAAATAAATAAATAATGCTTTAAAAAAACCCATGTTTTTCTGTGGCTTAGAAAGTTAGATGAAAATAGTTTAGCACACTTCTAAACTCCCTAATTAACCAAACTTATTTCATGGAGCAGGCATATTCAGCGTGTAAATCAACGGTCAAAATCTGGTCTTTAGTGACTTTGAAAACACACATAAAAATGCACATTTTAGATTTTGAAAAGTCTTTAATTGACTACTACAGCCATGGTAAAAGGAGATAAGAAATTTTTTCAGCTGCATAAGATTTTCAATGAGTTCCCCAAGGATGTGGGTGGATATCTTTGATTTCAAGATTGAGTCGATTAGTCAGAAGGAAATGTGGTTTCAGGCATTCGAACCTCGTTTTTATTATCTAGCATTTATGCAGTTCAGTTCCTGACTGAATTGAAGATACTTTATAAAATCTTGGTTAATGTGGACAGTGCTACACTTAGAGGGCTCAAGCTGGAGAGAGGCGAGAAAAGCTAGTTGGTAGCCAAGCTGGGTTTCTCTCACTAAGCTGCGTTGAACAGTGGACCTTCACCTGCTTCATGGAAAATGCATACTATGGAAAAACAACGCATAGATTTCAGGTTGGTGGTTTGTTTGTTTTTGGCACTCAAATAAACTGACACTTCAATTCCATTTTGCCCCAAATGTTCTAAAGTTCTTTCATTTTGGTAGGGTCACTACAGGGCCCCCAAAACAGGGATTTAAATTCATCAGGTTAGCAAAGGTTCAGAGACTGACTCACACTAACGAACTGTCAGTTCTCCAAAGTCAAAGTGGCATGATTTCAGACAAGTGAAACACACGGGTCTGTCTTCTCTCCGTCACCACATTCTGGTGTCACCAAACACATATTTTTAAAAATAACAGAATTACAACAGTGAGAGGAAACCAAAGCAGTTCCATTCATAATCCAGACATTTGGAATGACCCCTTTCTTTTTTATTTTTAATTTACCTTTATTCATTTGTTCGTTCATTCATTCATTTATTTTAATTTGACCACAGAGGGACAGAAGGAGAGAAAGAGAGAAGAAAAGTGAGAACGCAAGCCACCAGGTCTGAGATTTGAACCCCGGTCAGTCATGTGGGAGTCCAGTGCCCTTAACCATCATGCCACCTGCCAGCCCCTGAATTATTCCTAAAAAAGAGAAAGCAGTGGGAATCATATTTAAGATTTTAAAAAATCCTAGAGAACACCACAGCTTAAAACACACATAAGAAAGCCACCTGGAGGCAAGGATGTTAAGGCACTGGACCCCCACACTGCCAGCTAGGTAGTTCAAGTGCTAGACACAGCAGCCTGAAAATCAGGCCAGGTCCACATGCATGCGTCCTGACAGCGTGGAAGAGAAGGATGGCAGTGTGGCCATCCCCCCCGGTAGGGTGATTCCTCACTCTCCCTCTTGCTCCCTCTCTCTCTGTCGCTCTCTGGAAAGCACAGATGCCCTATAGCAAACAAACAACAAAACACACCCAAGAGAAGAATCCTAGCAGTAGGAGGGCTGGTGTGTGGGGAGCTCCGTGCTCACAGCAAATGCGATGCACTAATTTTGTCCTTTTAGTAAACAAGTCCATGTTAAACCTCTCTTATTTCTCAGGCACTGTTAGGTTTCTGGGTCCCACCAGTGAAGAAAGCAAGACTGCTTTCCTCTTGGAGCTTGTATTCTAGTGGGATAGACAGACAACAGATCCACTTGGGCTGGTCCTGCAGCCAAGTGATTAAGGGAAGCTGGATGCCACATGGCTGACCACAGTCTGAATCCTGACTCCAACAGCTTGAAAAGAGACACTGGGCACGTGTGTGTGCATGCCCCAGACCCCAACAGGACGGAGAAGTGGGGGAGAGGGACCACAGCACGGCCACACTCCATCGAAGGCGGTTTTCTTCCCTTCTCTCTGTCTCTGTTTCTCTCTGGCAAATGCATGTACCCTCTAACAAATAAAAAAATAAAAAAGAAGATAAACAACAAATAAACATTTTAGTATTTTAGATAAAAGATGAATGCTATGGGAAATGAAAACAGATCAGGACAAGGGAAATTCGTTGTGTGAGAATGAGAGGGGGGATTTTGAATAAGGTGGTCAGGGTAAGTTTTGTTGAGGAGGGGAGAGAGTTAGCCAAGCTATCTGGGCAGAGGGCACTCTGAGCAAGGGGAATGCAGAGGGAAAGGCAAGGGGAGGGTGGAAGGATGCCTGGCATGGTCAAGGGCCCAGGAAGCCAGAATGGGTGTGGGAAAGCAAAGCAGGAGGGGAGCAAGGGAGGAGGTGGAGCAGGTGCAGGGAGTCAGACTGTGCAGACCTTGGGAGGAGCCTGGCTTTTACTCCAAGGTGCAGTGGGCAGGGTGAGGGGCGGAGGACGGAGACAGGAGGAGTGCAGGGTTTTAAGCAAACAAGTGGTACGATCGAATGTACCTGTTAAAGGACTTGCCCCTGGGTGCCCTGCTGAGAATATCCGGCAGAAGAGGAAAGAATAAGCAGGGAAGAGCAGTAACCTGGGTAAGGGGACAGCTGGGGGCTCTGACCGTGGTGAGAGCAGTGGGGACGGTAAAAGTGGTCAATCCTGATTTTTTTTTTTTTTTTACATTTTTGCCATGAGGTATATGCTCACTGGAGAACGACAGTGAGAGGGAAAGGGAGAAATCAGCTCCCGGTGGTGGTGGCGGGGGGGCAGGGAATGGCCATGACCACAATCCCTTCTCCATTCTCATCTTGAATTTTCTTGCAGAAGTGCCCGGTGTGATTTTCGAGCCACCGGGTCCAGCACTCCGACCACATTTGGCCATGTGGGAGTCCAGCACCTTAACCGCCACGCCACCTGCTGGCCCCAATTCTGAATACATTTTGAAAGCAGAGGGAACAGAATTTCCTGGTGGACAAGGGATAGGACGAGACAGAAAGAGAGAAAAGTCACAGGTGAGCCATGAGTTCTGGCCTGAGTGACTGTTGGATGGGGCGACCCTCACCTGAGATAAAGCAGCGGCATGTCCCTATGTGAGTTTTCTCACCATGAACATGTGAAGATTGGTGGGGTTTGGGAGGGGTCAAGAGCACATCCTCTGATGTTTGGTTTTGAGAAGTCAGAGTCAAGTGGAAGTGTCGCTGGGCAGTTATTGAGGGTGTGGAATCCGGAAGAGAGGTCTGGACTGGAGCGCTGTTTGAGGGATTTGGGGCTAGGACTCACGTAGAAAGCCATGAGACTGGATGAGGCATCGCACGGGAGCGTGTAGATAAGGATGGGGGGAAGATGACACTGATCCATTAAAGGGGAAAGACCAGAAGAGCATCTCAACAGATGCCTAAAAATGATGGCAAACCTCAAATACTCGTTTCCAATTAAGAAACAACGAAATTCTTAGCAGGCTAAAAATATAAAAGGCTAAGGGAAAACAACGACCTCAGAACATCATGAAAGATATCGTAGCCTTAGATAGAAGACTCTGTATAATATTCTTTTCTTTTTTCCTCAAGCTACAGAGTTATAAGTGACTTACTGAACAAGGGAAACAATGCAAGTATGTGTAAAGAAAAAGTGAATAATCATTTCATTCTCATCTCAATCCCCTTTGAGGTAACAAATGTTAACCACCTGGTATTTATCCTTTTATATCTTAGGGCTCATTCATTGTTGCAAGCATTTACACAGCCCACAGATAGAGAGATTCCTTCGTCTGTGCTTTGCTTTGACAAAATAGAATCATACCATACAGAGACCAGCAGTTGACGTAATGGCTATGTCGCTGGACTCCCATGCAGTCGACCACAGTTCGAGACCCCGATCCAGTGGCTTAAACTCACGCCAGGCGCCTGTGTGTGCATGCCCCAAGATCCCAAGAGGAGAATGGAGGAGAAGGGATTGCGGAGTGGTCATCCCCCCAGAGGGTGATTTCTCACCTTCCGTCTCTCTGTCTCTCTCTGTCTTTCTGGTGAGCGCACACGCCCTATAGCAAAAACCTCTCTGGGGAAAAAAAAAAAGTCATACCATATATATTTCTAGATTTTAAAAATTTAGGGGTCAGCAGGTGGCGTGGTGGTTAAAGATGCTGGACTTCCACGTGGCTGACTGCAGTTCGAGTCTTGGACCTAGCAGCTTGCTTTCTCACTTTTTTTTCTCTCTTATTCTCTGTCTTTCTCTGGTCAAATTAAAACAAATGATAATAATAATAAATGAAGTTAAATAAAATAATTCTTCAAAAAAAATCTAAATACTGTATCATACACATCCCAACAACTATATAAATACAATTTCAACTCTAGCTTTTCCCTATATATATCATAACATATACACACATTATAAATGTATAACATGTGTGTATACATATATATAGTATATATATTAATATGTATGCCCAGTCAGACCTCCATATGGAT